AGACAGATGTATGAGCTAAAAATCAACAATGTGAATTTCAATGGCCATCTATCCTTTGATAGCTACAATAATTTCCATCCTCCCATGACCCTGAACTGTATAAGCAGTGAAGAAAACCGATGGATGGAAGGATTGAAATCTTTTTGAAAACACATCGAGCGAGTTTATATAAGGTCCAAAAACATAAAACGCTTTCCAGGGTTACTGGGTTCACTAGCACTTTGTAATGTCTCCTCCCAGGCTGCCTCTCTGGTGTAGCATGGACAATTGATTAACACTAGTGCAGCAGCTGCTTGTTCCATCATGTTTCCAGTGTAATTTCAGGGTTGCTAACATACAGCTACCAAAACAAGATGATACTGCCTTTGTTACTGTCAATTCTAGCATAGATTACACAGTCACACTAGTTTGTTCAGTGTTGTGTTCGTATTTGTTTCCCCTTCAACTTGCTTTTGAGAAACTGGAGAAAGGCTTCCTTACAGAGAGCTAAGCTAACCCGATGATGACATGACAGAATGCCCGGATTTGAGTATTTCATCACTTCTTTCACATTAATGATAGCAAAATTTGAGTATTTCTGTCATTGACAACACTGATGACGATCTACTGTAATACTGTTTTAAAAAAAAAAACAAAAAACAACAACTAACATACAAGCATTACATTGCTTTCAGTGTCTGAGACAACAACTGGGAGATGTCCTCTGGATAAACCATGTGTTTGCAGGATTGGAAAGTACCCTGTTTAGACCTCTTCTCAAACCCCCCGAGGGAAATGTTCCAACAAAACTGACCTTGCTGGACCTGATCATTTTCAGTCTCCAATGAGGCAGCAGAAAGGACAAAATGAAAACAGACACAGACAAAAAGCCATGTATATCAGGCAATCACACAAAACACTGATAAAGCAATCATCTGTTCCATTTGGGTATGAGACAATGGGTGTGGCCTCTGTCACCATGGCACCAAATTCTGATACAGCCTCTGGTAAAACCAAGTACTGCTTATCAGATAGGAGCTTCTATTTCAGCTTCTAAATTGAGCAACTCATTAGCATTTCTTGAATCTAACAGATTGGCAGCCCAACATAACAATGTTGTGCACAACAACCGCGAGCAATGGATAAAACCAAGCCGACTGCAGTCTCAGACAGTTAAACCGCAAATTCAGTGAGATCACAAGATGACACAGATTACGTTTGTCACTTTGCAAGAACTTACAACATGTGTGATTCTTCTTAATAAGAAACATGTATCACTTCTAAAATCTCTCCTACAACACGACTAGCACATTTCTGTGTCGAGTTGCATGATAAGACATCACTAAGTGCCAGCACGAGTTCTTAGACTCTTTACACCAAAAACCATCTCTTCAGCATAAGAGGCTGCCTGCTACATTTGCCGTACAAACACACCAAAAACAAACAAAAAAGGCCATTTAGATAAGAAACTGATGAATTCATGAGGCGATATCTCTACAACACCAAATCACCAGTGCAACACAATGCAACAGACATTTTCACTTGTTCTCTTACAGCTGCAATCGTCTCGCCAAATATGAAGTTTTCTATAAAACAATGGGAATGGGATGGGACAGCTCC